CACTGACGTTAATTAAAATTAGTTAATCTCTTCAGAATAATCATTGAGAAAAAAGAAAACAACAGAAAAACAAATATGAACTAACCGGTAGACTGAACAAATCAATAAGTAGGCCATGTACAGTTCCTTCACGACAATAATACTGTACTGATGATGATGATGATGTAAGCTGATCCAACAGAAAAGAAGTAGAAGTAAATACTGATTTTGTTGAAAATGGAGACATTTTTAAACTACTTCCAGTATATCTTGCATTTAGACAATTTAAACTATGCGCCATTATACGAAAGATTGGATCGAATGAAACATTATTTCCATCAACATTATTTTTACTAGCATTCCATTGTTTCCAGTTCATTTCATGAATTAAACGAGCATGTATAGGTTTAGACCAGGCAAATAAATAAAGTTTATTGCTTTGATGATTAGTCGTATCATCACTGTTATCATTCTCAACATCATTCGTCGAAGTGGAGGTCAGTGTAACAATCTAATAAGCAAATGAAATAAATAAACAATGAATTCAGTTTTCATTACTGACATATACAACTGTAATTACTGTATAAATTACAACTGATGAATAAGTGTGATATTTATGATTTCAGAATATTAAAGATTCCCATTGTGAAAATAAGAACAACACATATAAGCGAACAATTGTTTTCAATTAGATCGTCATCATGTATATTAGAGTAAAGCCTGATGACAATCTAATTGAAAACAGTTGTTCGCTTATATGTGTTGTTTTAATATTTATGATTATCTTTATTGTTTTTTTTAGCTTTCTGTTGTTTAGTATTCAGGATTGAATTTCTTGAGTCTCTATTGGTAAATTAGATCTTTGAGTATAAGTCCTCATTATTGACTGTAGATATACATTTTTGGTAATTTTCATAAATATAATTAGCAGTGGAATTAAGAATGTGCGTTTTACCTTATTTTGGGACTCATCAACTGGATCTGTCTACATTCTAATGTTGATGTTCATATTAGAAGTTGATCACAATACCAATAGCTAACACTGGACCCATTAGCTTAATGTATGCCGTGATGGTACTCGAGGCGATAGGTACTGTGTTCAAGTGTCAATGTGAACATTAACATAATGGATAAATATACATCTGGTTAACGTAATATCTCTAATGTCCATCACAATATTGTGAAATAAAATCTTGCTTGGTGGTAAGAAAACCTATACGTGATTACTGAATTCCAGCCTAATACAACTAACTGTTAGGGACATTAGATCCCCAGAACTCACTTGGGAAAGAACCTAATTTTGTAATTTTATTTAAAAAATTTGAATTTCTTTGTTTTCGCGCCAAAGGCGCTCTTGTCACCTATATGTCGTATTTCCCACTTGGAAATATCTTAAATGCTATTGGTCCATTGCGTCTTTTCGTATGCTATTTGGTAACTCTCCCCAAAGACGGTTTTGTACTATATATGTACGTATTGAATTGTGTTTGTTGTGATCGCTCGTTTCTGGCTGTTTGCAGAATATACTTCCCCATTCCAAGCTTGGACTTCTCCCTCTGGTTAGCGGGGCTTGGACGCATCAATAGCTAGCTCACTGGTCTTTGGTCACCGAGTCTTGCTCTCGTTCGCAGATTGAGTGAACTCGTGATAGTTTCAAACCTAGCACTAACTTACAGAAAAGAAGTTAAAATGGTACTAAATACTCATCTTTGTGGCGTAATTCTGCAATTAGAACAAATACATGAATCAATAAACTATTTTTCAGTGTATATTTCAAACTGACTGTATTCATTCGCTGTACTACTACTGTTGAACAAAAGTAACTTAATTACGATACTAAGATTTACAGAAGAGTTAATAAAGTTGAAATGCCAGAACGATGTGTACATCTTAAAGAATCTAAATCTACATAATACAGCCTAAATGTATACTTGACATTAAACTGTTTTCAAGTTTATTTATTTATTTTAACACATAGACATTGGTACAAGGAGGCACCAAATACATATGCACCACACAAATCTCATTCGATATGTGTGAGGGCTGTGATACTGCAGGTGGTTTTCTCAGGGGGCCACTGCCCGAGCCTTCGACCTGAAGGTCTGATCCACAAGGCAGTGGAGCATCGCAAGGAGATGCAGTTCCATGGTAGCCGGTGACCAAAGATTGGTTCATACGCCATTTGTTCCTTCAGGATACTGGAGCCCATGTGCACCATTGATTTGGAATCCGGTTAAAGCGCCGGACATTCGCTTTTCGTCCTCTCATTTTCGTAAACTACGCCCCCGCCACGAGAAGGCAGTGAGTAGAACTTCCCTGGCAGAGGCTATATACGCGTGGTCGTGAGAGAGCATTTCGAGAGGGAGAGCGGACTCTCCCCACTCTTGGCCGTACCAGGGCATTTAGAATTATCAATTTTTTTCAATGATTAACTAGCCAATTGATATGATTTATAAAAACAACGATGATAACCCAATGATACATTAAAAAGAATAATGAGAATGTTTTAGCGAAGGGAATGTTCTTTTTGATGATATCATGTTCTTGAGTAGTGCGATTGTATCTCTATGTAATTGTTTCTATGTAATGTAGTCCGTCTATAGTAAAAATAAGGGAGGTGTTACAAAACTTATTCAAATATTCTTGATTTATATATATTGGTTGTTTGGATTGCCCCATTGATGTTTTAAGACTACAATTGATTATCCAAGTGTCCAATGTGAACGTCTATACAAAAAAACGAAGTGGTGTTGCATTATTTAATGAAGTTATCATAGGATTTTGATCTAATGGATGGTTTAAAATGGTTTGCTCTCTCCCTCAGGTACAATACATTAATAAGGCTAGTCACATTATATCAGACCCAGGATTCATGACCCCGAATAGAGTACCAGAGTATACACTAGATAATACTTCATTCCACACAACTACAAGCAGTCATATTCATTGAGTCTGAAGAAGAAATAAATGAAAGGAAAGGAAGTCACATATTTAATAGTCAGTAGGCTAAGCGCCTGTTTGTTCAGGCTCAGTGACCAGTGGTAACGTCTCTGACTGTGAAGCTGTATGACACGGGATCGAATCTGCCAGGGAGAACCAGTTCCCTCAAGATTACAGGAACACCTTACTGACGAGTGCCAAGTAGCACGAAACCCGGGTCCAGGGTTTCCTACCTCCAACCACCATCTAATCAGTGACCAATCATATTTTACTCTTACTATCCCACACATAAGGTTTTTAAGTATAGAATTAAAACGTGTTATCACAGATTGAATAAAATGAGTGTTACATCATTTATCAAAGTAATCAAAAATAATCAATAAACCAAGTTGTATGATAGTTCTAAGAGTAATGAGAAATAATGATCATTTATACAATAAGTGTGTAAGATAATTGTTTACTTTACAACGCAGATGATGAGAAAGATAATTTGTAAAATTAGGATAGGATACTAAGATCATGGTAGAACAAGGGATCGAAAGTAGATGTTTAGTACACAGAGATCAGATTTAAAATAGTGAAATACTATAGCTTCAGCTATGCACAAATTCTTCATTCAAAGAATCTTCCAATCAGTTCTCTTAACTTTGTACATGATCTTGTACGACAAAGTTTGCAAACCTTAAAACATGTTCAAGTCATAAAAGTCAGTGTCTCAAAACAGGGACATTAACTAAATCACCATCATTAGGCCTTAACACACACTACCAAATCTTCGCATTGCTAACACGGCGTTGTCATTGTATCTCACCAATTCTTCAGAAATAAAAATGATGAAATAGAGTCACTGAACATCCTCAACTCAAAACGTCCAAGATTCTCAAGTATAGAGCAGAACTATTATCATTGATTTATTGTGAATCCAACCTTCTACAGTCAAACTAGCATTATAACGGAGTCAAAGATGGGTTAGATAACTATTAGTCACTCTGACTTTCACTGTGTGTAAATGAATTTCTTCTGCTATGTTAACATGTAACAAAGTTAATTTGATACAAAATAAATACTAGAATCAACACACCACTAATACAACAAGATCATTTTGTGGTGCGTGCTACTTATATTGACATAAGTAGTACATAACGCGAGTCAGGAATGTAATTTCTGGCAGCAGAAGATTGGGAAGATCAAGAAAGGAAGAACGGGAATAGAAAGTAATTAGTATGGAAATGTAATAACAGTGAAGTCCGAGACAATTATTGAACATTTTGCAAATTAAGCATTATGGTATAGTTTTTCTATTTTACCAAGTAACTCTATAATTATCTGCTAGATACAATTCGGTTTCAAAAGAACGGCTACCCAATCAACTTCATCGACAAATGCCAATCGCACGCAGCATCAGAATCTAAGTCAAGCACAGAAATCAACAAAAGATTCGCCCTACCATATGACAAAGCGCGACGAGACTGCTGAAAAACTTCGGAATAGGTGTAGCACACAAACCGACAAAATCATTACGATCAATCCTATGTAAATCAAAGGATGAAATAACAAAGGAAGACAAATCAAACATCATCTACAAAATAAATTGTGCCAACTGCGAAAAACACTACATCGGACAAAGCGGACGCCCCCTTCATCTTCGCCTATATGAACATCAATTAGCAGTCAAACGCCATGATACTTCCTCACTTATATCAATACACGTGGACAACAGAGGACACTCATTCGATTGGAAAAATAAATGATTCATATCGCAGAGGCTGAGATTGGTGCTCTGAACCTCACATGTAGAGCTAGCCAGGAAGAAGGACAATAAGGACCCTAGATTGCTCGTACGGAGAAATGCGAACACTTCAATTCTATCTGAAGGTTGTGCGGATGATGTCGTTCAGAAGAACGATGAATGCTCTACAACCAAACCATCCAGCTCAGAGAACAAAACTCCATCAAAATAATTCGGTTATCCTCACCTGTGTTCTCCTTCACTACAATTTCGATAACCTTCTTTTGATGCGAACATAAATCATAGCAAAGTTTTCCATGAAATTTCGAAGAAAAAAATAAGAGAATTCTTTCAAAATCTACGATCGACTTACAGTCAGTCAGCTACAACGTAGGAACCAGGCACATATATATGCATCGGTCCAAATTGTCATACCTCGTTACCACAACAAGATGAACGTCTGGTTCATAGAAGTAGTTCATTCAATAGTAGTAATACATATATATAAATATATATAAAAGAAAGGTTGTTTGTAAAGATACAGGGAAGAAAGAATTAGCTGGTAGAACTTACATCACATGGTTTATGCCATTGTCCAAATGAATCTAATATAATTGGAAATTGTTTAATATAATTTAATTGAGTACTTTTATTCAATTCAATATCAATATTCACCAAATTATTGATAGTTTGATTCGTTTTTTGTTTATTATCATTTATTGATTTATTATTTTGATAAATATTGATTTCAGTCCCATTATGTAATCGATATTCAGTGAAATATTCTTCATATAAACAATAATCTAATAATGAATACCAATGTGATAATTTTTTATTAAATT